TTAGATTTCCATTGCAGTTCCCTACACTAATAGCTGGTTAAGCAGCTGAGTGTGTTACTCTGGAATGTTTAGTGCATGCTATTTCAGCCTGTGAAGTAACACTGCCATGCTGTTTTTGTAACTTACATATAATGAAAAAAGTTTGCTTAACTGGCAAGGAAGACAAAAATCCTTTTCTCGGCATTTGAAGAGACCTAATGCTTCAACATTTGGCTTAATTAAAAAGCAAGTGAAACAGGGAAGAAGCAAATTACACATATTAATATTTATAATTCTAAGAAAATCTTCTGATAATAAGGAGGTTATGGCCAATTTAATCAGTATATACTATATACTCATTTATTATACCAGTTTAAAAAAAAAAAAAGTGGTTTCATCAGACCTAGGCACAAGATCACCTGGCTCTAAAGCTGACAGTAGTAAAGGAACATCAGGTCATGCAGCCTTTTTCAGTAATAAATTAGCAGTCACTGTACCTCACACGTGAGCTTCATTTATTTCCATGTATCTTTGGTTTTTAACGCTGACAGAGTTCGGATCTTTTCCTCACGAAGTTTCTTAAATTGCTGCCCATTCACTGCAGTTATCAACCATGAGCTCTTCAACTATTTTTCAACTTAATATCAACAGTACTTAAGTAGCTGTGGTAGAGGGACTTTGGGAAAGAGGTGTATTGAGACACCCAAAAATCATCACATAAAACATAAACTAATGTCCTACACAATTATATATGGATTTATTCTCAAATCCCCAGCAGTGTGATGAAAGGCATCTAAACACATCTTTTAGGTGAGTAACATGAGGATTTCAGCAGCAGAGTATCTGAGACAGATCAGTCAGTCTGCTTGATCACTTCTTTCCCGTTTCCCCTCACTACAGGCCAGCTTTGTGTAATCTTCTGCCTCAGTCTCATATAACTCCTGTCTTTAGACCCAGCTATGCCAACACAAAAGCAGCACAAGTATCAAAACCAGTCTTCACTATCAACCTGCAATCAAGGCACCTCAGGTTATTCTCTGCTCCAGAAAAGAGCTCCTGAGGGAACTTTAGAGATTGTTTAGGAAAAAAAAAAATAAAAATTAAACAGCAGGCATCTCACTTCAACTTGTGTCCAAATTTTAATTCTCATCTTTGTCATCTCAGGATATAGGCACTAGTTTAAAAGAAGTTGAAAAAACCCAGGAGAATAAGCACATAGCTCACCTGCTTAAAGTCTGTATCTGGCCTGAACTAAGCACTCTGTATATCAACTACCACAAGTTAGTCCCCAGGTACCACACAATTCAATCCAAGCAGCATAAATATAAGAGCAAGCCTGGCTCAGGGACACAGGTCTGGGGAGAATAAGATGTCTAAGTCCCACTGCTCCCCCAGGTACGATGGAAGCAACCAACTCCTTTATTTCCCAAAATAATTTTACCTGAAAGATAGTGCAGCTCTAACAGGCTTTTTAAAAACAGTTCAGAGGCAAAAAAATCTAAATCTGAAAATTTTTATTTTCAAAATAAAAAATGTTGTACAGAACATTGAAGATCTGAGTAAATCTAAATACAGCAGTCTCCATAATATGACACAAGGGTTTGCTTTTAGCACAGTACTTTCACACTCTAGCAATCAGAAGGAAAGCCAAGCAATTAGGAGGAAACAAAAAAAAACCAAAAAAAACACCACTTTTATCTGTCGGAACATGTATTTCTAAAATGAGCTCCTTCTTCACAAAATGTACCTAGACGGAAGAGCACTCTCCACCTCAGATTGCAGAGCTATTCACACTATAAAAACACATCAAGAGAGGACAGGAGATTTTCAGTAGGAGAAATGATTTATGAAACATAACTGCAAGACTGAGACATAAATATCTTTTGTTTCTAAATTCCTCTCTCTTCCCCTCCCACACACACTTATGCAATCCCCAGAAAGGAATAAACTGTGGATCATTATGAATACACACAGAGCAAGTACTATGCAAGCAGAGAAGTCTAAACCCATGTTGATTCTTCTACTATTGAACTGTACATTATTTGTAACATTGCATTCTAAACCTTACATAAAGATTACACAGTAGTTTCCATAACCAAACTAAGCACATTTACACTTCGTGGTTCTCTGGATGCAATTTCCGTGGCACCTTCTTTTCTACAGCAGTGTCCAGGAGACACCATGCACACAGCATATTGGAATTCTTCGGCTCCGTTTCTGCTGTACTTGTTTCATACCATGGCTGGGCTTCACGAACAAAGATTTGGGAGTTGTTTCATAAACATCATGTGAAACAGCCTTCCACAATCACATGGAGCCAGAAGCAGAAACATGCATTGCCACTTTTCCTGACAAATTAAACAAGTTACCACCTTTCATCCACTTGCAGCTGGCCAATAGCCACATGAACCACTACCCCCCTACTTCGCCAAGCCCTCATCTGGAGGCATCCCTCTTTCCCAGGACCGTTGCTGATTCTGCAAAGCAGTTCTGCAGTTGCAGCAAGAGCAGGGAGGAGAGTCCACCAAAACAGTGATTTAACAAAGGGTACATTCCATTTCAGACAGTGGTCACTCCATAATGTGTACCAGTACGTTCACATTGTTGTCACCAACAGGCAGCACTAGTGCTGTAGAAACTTTCAGCAGTGGCCTTCTCTCATCTAAACAAAAATACAAAGTGCCACCTCAAACTGCTTCTGCTGCATTTTTAAGTCACTCAGAGAACCTCCTTTGAAATGGCCAATGTGTACTTTTAGTACTCTGTAAAACCAAAAAATTAGTGCTTGGAGACTGCTTGGCTGCAACTTTTAAAACTTTGTTTTTGAACTTAAGAACATGCTGCTGTTTTAGAGATTCTAAATTGATTAATCGATCATTAATGTTTAGTAAGTGTCTGTATTGCAGAAGTTGGTTGTTTAGTTCTGTGGAGAAAAGTGCCCTGAGTTTTCAGAATATCTCTATCTTTTTGTGACCAATTTCAAAGCATAAGTAAGCCTGCAGCACAGACTGCTGCATGAGTGAAACTAATGGCTTAAAGCCCCATCTCCTTTCAGGAAAAAAAAAAAAAAAGAAGTTACCAGCATGAAAGCGAGGACTGATATTTATACTACCTCTTTTGCAAAGCTGTTTAAAGAGAAAACAATGGCCTGTGGGCGAAGACCTTCGTTAAACAGTTTTCTCAAGTATGATTTATACTGAAATAAATGAAAGTTCTTTATCCTTTTTTACCCAAAAGGGGAGGGAAGGAAGGCACTTTGTAATCTCATTTGATTAAACAATTCACTGTAGGCAATAATATGACACTGGTGAGAGAGTATGAAATTTAAAGGCAGTCACAGCTTCAGTCTTCCATTCCAAGTTCTTGTTTCAGACTGAAAGACAAGTAGAAACATGAGTTAGCTTGTAGCAAAACACTGAAAACTGTTTAGTTCAATTAGTGGAAGCCCTGACAGTAAACATATTGAAGTTGAGAGCCAAAAGACAGAGTGGATATACCACTCGTTTTCAGTAAGAACCAGTGTATCAGAAAAATCACATGTCAAAATCTTAGATTCTGAAGGCAACAGACCGATCTTGAGATTTACCTGATGAACTAGGATGTGGACAGCTCTATTCTCCCACTTTTGTGATGCTTATCCCACTTAAAGCAACCATGTCACTGACACAATGGTATCCTTACCTTTTTAAGTAGGCATGGACGTTGTCAAAGCCATGGTACTTGGCCAGATAGACCAGGACACCTGTTGCACATTGGCCATCTCTTTGTCTGCAGAAGCTACAGTTGCAGATTCCACGACATGGTGGGCACCTCCATGTCTAGACAAAAGACAGAGAAGCCTTTTTAAGTGAACTGCAATGTCAGATATCATTCACATCCGGAACTAAGAAGAGTGCCCTTCTCCACACTGAGTTCTGCAGTAAACATCAGCACTGCAAAAGTTGTCTAAACCAGTGCAAGAGTACAAATTCTTCAGTCTGTAGGGGATTAAACTCTCCTTTGCCTGCCTTGCACAACCACAGGAAGCGTTCCGCTCTGTTTAACTCCTACACCACAGCCCATAAGAGCACCACTTTGTACACAACACAGAACCTTTCCATAGGGCATTAAGCACTAACGCAAGGCAAAAGCGAACGCTATTTTGATGCTCAAACACAAGAATATGTTGGTCACTGCTCTGCTCTCATACTTTACTCCTGCCAAATAAAGCCACAGAAGTAGTAAATACAGCAAGTTCTACACAACACAAAGTTCTGCGACTCAAGTTGAATCAAGCTAGGCCTGCATTATGTACTACAGCACTGTAAGCAGTTCTCCTATTAAAACTCTTACTATGAGTAACCAATACACCTGGCTGCTCAAGTTAAACACAACAAAGCCAACAGTCAGAACTGTCTTACTGGATCCAGCAGGGCTGTTCTGACACTCTCTCCATATCTGTTGCGGAGGCAGGGCCCACAGAACTGGCCCCGTACTCCCACGCAGTCAGGGTTACGGCAGTTTGTCTTGGTGTCAATGGTTTTTTGGCGACACTGATGACAGGTGGATCCCTAGAACCGAGGAAAAAGAAGCAAGACATTAAAGATGGCATTTTAGTTAGGGACATAAAGCATTTAACAAAATCTCTTTGGCAGCTAGCAGTGCTTATCCAACAACAGAAAGCACCTTGCAAGTTTGAAACAAGATGTTTTAACACAACATCTTCAGTGTCGGTTTATCACTTTCCCTGGCTGGTATCACTTAGGTGATAGAGTTCAGAGTGAAAAGCTGATAGATTCCAGAGTGAAAGCAAGCTAATTGGCTTGGTAAAAGCCATTCTACAAATTCAGGTAAAAATAAGAAAGGACACTTTAAGATCTTTCTCCCAAAAATCACATCCTTCCTCTCAGTGAGAGGGAGCCTGCTCTATTTGATGCTAAAACACAAGCCAGGAATAACAAGAAAATGGCTTCACAAAGTACACATTTCACAAAGCTGGAATATACTTACCATGGCCCTGTTATATACTTTTTCTCTTGCAGATCCACAAATATTATCGAGCTCTTCCTCTGTTATGTCCTCAACTGGGCGCACAACGTGTGGAAAAGCCATGGCACCACGGTGACCCCTCCTGGGAGATTGGGCTTCATGCTGATTAGCAAAGACACAATACTTTTAGTACTAGTTTCAGTAAAAACTCTACAAAGGCGAGGATTTTCACAGCAATGCCAAAGCCGTAAACACCCATCATTTTAAACAAGATATAACAGAAGTCTGCACAGACATATGATATGAATGCAGCTTCAGCACGTTCACTGATCACCTTAAAGGTGCAGAGATGCTACTGATCTTGTGTAATTCCTGCTAGAGTGCAAGAGGAAGTGATTTTTCAAGGATAAGGGAGGGAAAATGGAGAACACATACAATATGTTATTTTTTGTACTTCTTCCAAGGCCATGGCATACTGATAAACCTCATCAACTCTGTAGGAATTGCTATTGTCTGGAAGGAATAAAAAACCACCTTCACAACCCACAACATGAGAATTAGACCCTCATCATACCTCCAGGTATTCATCAGACACCTTTCTTCTTCTCACTAAGATGTACTGGTCATCTTCTTCCTCTTCTGGTAAAACAGTAGGAGGACCTTCGATCAAGGACCTGGACCTTGTGTGAGGCCGAGAACTTCGGTCTGGGTTCCTCCTCAAAGCACATCTGGGCGATGAACGCCTTGGAAGTCGCTTTGGTCCCTGGTAAAGTTTAAAAGCCCCTAATGAAACAGGCAAAAACCCAGACAGCTCCAGTCCCTGCTGAATTCCTCCCCAAAAGATGCCTTTCTTCTGTCTTTCCCAAAGACATGTCTATCCCTGTCCCAATCAGAAAACACAAGGTAAAAACATCCTAGGCAAATTATCTCAGGCTTTCTGCTAATCACAGAGAAACAGTCAAAAGCAAGTTTGTGTCTATGCAGGTATAAGATACAGTAATTCCCCCATGTAGCAGCAGAACCCATCTATGAGAAGTTACGATTTTTAGTGTTGTTTTAAACTTCACCCACCTTACAAATAAACCAGCAGTAAAATTCATCACACCGCTGATTCACAACCCAACCTTCTTTAAGGTTAGTCTAAATGCCAGGTGTTTTTCAAGGCTCCAAACTCACAGAATATTCAGGCCTGAGCTTTAAAGTCTGAGCTGTCCCCCTTATCTCCAGCCTTTGTATAAATACATATTTACGGAGCACCTTGTTAAGTTTTATTGGCCTGTGGAGACACTTAACCCTTATGAATTAATCTGTTCTGCTTTATACGGTGACAAATCAAAAGAATATTACAGAATGAAGATACCTGTTTTAGGAAGCAGTGAAATTCTGACTGGACTCTGATCTGCAGAGTTTATTAAGCTTTTTAATTGACAGTCAGAATTTGACTCTTGGAAACCTGAAGACAAATACAGTAAGTTTATACTCACATGACTGACAGCTGGCAATGACTTTCTCCCACCAAAGATACCAGAAACATTTTGCAACTCAGCCATTAGTTTTGCAAGCTAACGAGAGAAAGAAAAATGAAGCAGAGCCTTAAAAGGGTGTTTATTTTCTATTACAGACCATTAGGGCAATTGGCTAGAAGTACAATTAATTATAGGAAATGCAGTCATTTTTCTACTCTTTACTTTTATGTCTTATTTATGTTCTAGTGACTGCAAATAATTTGGAAATGCTCAAAGTTACTATGTTAGGCTTGCGGTCTATGCATTTTCACATGCCAGTGGATATAAAGTATCAGAAGTATATATCAGGAATGCAAATTCCTTGTAATGCACTCACATAAATTCCCATTACAGTTCATTTAACCAAAGAGGTCCCCCCAGAGTTAAGAGGGAGAGGCGAAGAAGGGAGAGTCCCATTGAATACTTGCCATTGCTTTGTTTTCCTTTATGTTTAAAGCTCTTTTTTCTAAAAACATGGCACCCTTGTCTTCAGTGTCAGAGTCTGAATCTGAAGCAGGCATTGGTGTTTCAGGAAGAGGTTCTATCTCACCCTTCCTCCTCTCTGATCTTCGAGGTGGAAACCTTATGGCTACTTTTAGAGGAACAGAGCATTTCCGCCCTCTCTGAGCTACCTCACTTTCTGCACTTGTATCATTCTCCTCTGAATCCGATTCCAGTTTCTGTTAACAAAAGAGAAGGGAAGCATTTAAGTCCAAGGGAGTTACTCTGCAATCAAATACAGTGAACAGTATTTTGTTTGTGGCTGGTAAAAGAGGCTATTTGGCTGAAATTTAGACATCCAGTCGTAGTGCTATAGTGTATTTAGGAGGGGGGGCAAGAGAAGAGGGGAGCACGGGGATGAAAACCCCTCAGGGAGAGCCACATGGTACTACTGCAACACATCCAAAAAGGGACTGTAGTTTCAGTGCAGCAGACTTAGCTGTTACTGGCAGGTCTAATAGCAAAGATAGTTTGTGTGGTGTGAGAAAGAGAACTGCCTTTAAAGGCAGACATTCTTATTTTCTAGTCATTCCTCAGCATGTTCTGAAGTTATGACAAACCTGGTTTTCGCCAAACATGGTACTACTACTGTTTTCTCTTCTAAACACCAACTGTTGGTCATTTTAAGCAACAAAACCGATCTTGTACTGATGTTAAGGAAAAGCAGGAAGGCAGATTTCACCACCTTTCACTATTTCTCTACTGTTAAAGGCACACAGCATTTCATGTTATGCTGCCAGAGTGCAGGTCTGACTGCATGTCAAAATACATAGAGATTTTTCTCAGGTTTGCTGGAGTCCATGGGCTAGCTTAATATTTCATATTGAGGAAACCAGTAATGTTAGGGTCCAACAGAGGAACATCCAGCAAGGACAGTTTTAAGAGGTATATTTCAAAATGCATATGGCATATTTTATTCTGAACTTGTAAAGCTCAGAATCTTGAGTGGTTTTTATGGAGACAAAAAGAAAATTAAACTTTGGCTACTTAGACTGTATATAAAATGCCATAATGCTTCTTTTCCTAAACATTTGAGTCAAGCTGAAGCTGGCATTATTTTTCAATTAAGAATTTGTAAGAGTGTAAATAGAAAAATGCAAACTAAAATCAGCTGTCTTACCAACGCATCTTGAACCTCATTTTCTGAAAAGCCACAGAAAGATTCATCATCAGAGGCTTCATGAAAAATTTTTGCCAGTTCTTCTCCAATATCTGACCTAAATTTGCATTTCTAGGAAGAATAAAATATCCTTTAACTGAAGTTGTACAGAAAATTATTCACATTTACAAGTGCAGTATAAGCAAATAGCTTTTTTTAATAAGGAAAAAAATAGTTAAGGCATTTAACAAGGGGTTTCAGAATCAAAGTTGCAAATTACCAGGCAGGTTAGGTGACATTTCAAAGGCTAGAAATAATAGCTAATCTGTTTCCAAAAATTACCACCTAGAAGCACAAGTGAAGAGTGAAATGAAATTACAGCATATAGCATGGATTTATAACTACTATACAAAAACATAAGCAGAGCAAGTAGTTTTAATTGTTCACCAAACATTTATTAGTTTTACCAGATTTACATTTTTGCAAGCTTTACTAGTACTGCACATACAGTTTTATTTGTTCTTGTTTTGTACTTACTGTGTTTGCAAAATTATCAGAACCAAAACTGTCACAACTGTCATCAGAGGATGAGGATGTTTCCATGGGAATCAGTTTTGTATTTCGGAAGGCTGTGAAGTTTTTCTTTCCCGAACAACCTCGGCGCTGCAAAATGACAACGGTAACACCGTTAAGAAGAGACCTACTGTAGCATACTAGCTTTTAAGAATATCCTTCTATTGAAGTTTAGATGGTTTGAACATTTTAGGATGTTTAACAATCTTGAATGCAAGTCAGCATAACTAACATCAGCTTTGAAATAAATCCCAAAGTTAGAAAAGGGAATGGGTTTTTACTCTGATACAGTTCTGATCACTGTTACAGATGAGTTTTGTTCAGTATTTAAGAACACTTCTTTTGTGCAAACAGACAAGTGGAAATATACACACAAATCATGTCTTCATAGACAGTGACAGAAAAAAGTGCAAGCACATGAACAGTGCCTAGAGATCTGCTTTGATTTATTGCTTTCAGTTTGAGACAAACGCTAAATACACTGCAGCTGTTCAGGAAGGGCCAACGGATCATACCCACAAGTGATCTGAAACAACTATTCTAGACACAGCAGCTTGCTGTTTTGGTCGTTTTGCCACCGCTTGAAAGATCCTTTTTGATAGGCTTCAGTTTTTCCTTTCCCAGGGAATATTTCTCCTGGCAATGACCCATTTTATCTCCCGAGATTATCATGGACCCAAAGGCCAAGGCGGCAGCACCCACAAGCGCTACTGCTCCACGGGCCCACCGAAAGGGCCAAACTCTGTATAAAGAGGGCTTAAACAGTAACCACCCAGGGGAACTCCGAGCTCTCCGTCCTCTCCCAGCACCGCTCTGCTCGCGGATTTTCGGCTGTTTCGCCGGCGCTGCCGAGGCACAGCACGGCGGCCGGGCCTGGCCCCACACACAAAAGAGGCGGCTCCTGGCGTCTCCCGCCGCGGCTTCGGGAGTGCCCACCCGGGGAGACCCCCGGCGGCGGGCCGGCCGGCACCTGACGGCCTCGGGCACGGTGTAGCCCAGACCAGACACCGGTGTACGGCCACTAGATAGACACGCCCGTCCCCTTAGGGCGCGGCCCCTCACGCCCGCCAGGGCAGCGGGCGGCTTTTCCCGCCTCCCGCTAAGATGGTGCCGCCCCGCACACACGCGGCCGGGCCGCCCGCCCGCCCGCCTCTGCACCGCCCCCTCCGCCCGCCGTCTCTGCCGCGTTCCTGCCCTAAGGCCGCACCGCCGTCCTACGGCCGCCCCCGCGCCCTCGGCCCTGGGGAGGCGGGTAGGTGCGGGGGCACTGGCCGCATGGCGCCGGGCCGCCAGCCCGACTCCGAGCGCAGCTCCTACGGCGCGTCCTCTACCCCCAGTCAGGCGCGCAAGGGCACCGCCATGCGCGGGGTAAGGGGAGCTCCAGCACCGCGACGGGGCAGGGCGCCCGAGGCTTCCGGCCCGCGTGGAGGGGCTGCCCACACGCCGCTCTCCCCGGGATGCCCAGCCCAAAGAGCCTCCCAGCCCAAAGAGCCTCCCCGCCGATCCCGCCAGCCTCCCGCAGCGCAGCTTAGCCTGGCTTGCCCCGGTTCGCAACACCCCGCAGGGTCCCGGGAGAGCGCGGCTACAAGCGCCACAGCCTTCCCTCTTCCTGCAGCAGCAGCAGCAGCGACCCGCAGCCGTGCGGCGGTGCGGGCGGGCAGCCTCACCTGCGGGCGCGGCGGAGCCATGCTGGTGGCGGCGGGGCGAGCTCGGGGAACTGAAGGTTCGCGCCAAAGCGGCCAGGACCGCGGGGGGCGGGGCCCGGCGGCGCCTTTCCCGCGTTGCCGCCCGCGTCCTGGCAGATACAACTGTCAACCCACTGGGATCGGGCACCCGGCGTGATCACCCCGCGCTCGTCCCCCAACCCCTGCTGAGGAGCTCGTCAGGTCTCCCGGGACGTCCCCGGAGGGGCCAGTGCGGAGACCCATTTCTTTTTCCTATTCGCGGTGTGGGGTTTGTGGAGCTGCAAGGGCCTGGCCCTGTGGCGCGAAAAGCTCCCTGCCGGAACGCCGCGGGTGCCGGAGGGGCGGGGGGGGGGCAAGTTGGGGGCTGGACCCAGGCCCGCCCCGCCCCGCCGGGTCCTCTAATTTTATTTTCTTTTTAAATTAATTTTATATACCAAACGTGGATTGGTTTTCACCACTCTGAAATAACTCCCCCATACCTGCCAGTTTTCAGGAGCAGCGGGGGTTTCTCCATGCAGGAAAGGCACGGTCCTGTGTCCTAGCTGCCCTTTGGCAGTAAAGCAGTGCAACAGAATTTTGCGAAGTTGGTTGCCTTGCCCTTTGTAAACAAAGTACTTTCTGAAGAGGAAAATAGATCGGTGATTTTAAAGCATTTTAGGTAACATTTATAATAGCACATTAAATCAAGTACAGCCGTTAAACGCAGCAAAATAACTTCTACGTGGCATTTGGCAGCAAGAGTAATGGGAGAAGCCCTGAACAAGCTGTATGGGATTTGTGGCTCTGGTGTTTGTTATAATCCTCTGTTTATCCCGCGGTTTGAGCAGGGCTCAATACCAGGGCAACTGTTGCTGCTGAGCATTTCCAGGTGTCTTCCTGCCAGCAGACGAGTCCCCACTGCAACAGGCAGGAGGGAGGAGGCCCCATGAGCGTGCAGCCCACACGCGAACCTGTGCCCGTGTAAGGCAAACCACGGATCATCTCTAAAGCCAAAGCCTGTAAATAGGCTATAGCACAATAGAGTACAAGAGCCCTGGCGGAGGTGTTCTGTTTTCTGTGGGCATTATTCTTCCTGCACATGCTGCAATCTGTCATGTAAAAGAATCTCCATTTTAAATAAGCCCATAATTACATACTTACCTGCACCGCTGGCTTCTCAGCACATGCACAAAGGCAGATGAACTAAACCAGTTCTCCAGAGACCTGACCACACTCCATTCTTCTAAATCCACATTAGTGGAGGATTTCCACCCAGCCGGTTTCCAAACAACACAGCTCAGTTGGGAAGAGAGGGGTGTTTTTTGAATTTTGATAATAGTTTTACTTCTTTCAGAAAAAGAAATCTACCAATATTAGTTTACTTACATGGAAGAAGAGATCCAGTTTATCAACAGTAACAGCCTTAACATTTTGAATCGCTATTATCAGAATTTTCTAGAAAAGCAGCCAACCTTCACAGGTTTTAAGAGCATCATATGAAATGCTATGGAGCACTGATGGTACTAGCTGAAGCAAAACTTCAGACTGCAGTTAATTTTCCATTTAATGCTTAATGCAAACAGAATTCTTTGAATCTTCAAATGACGTATGTAGTCAAATGGCTTTAAAATTAATAGGCTAGAGCAGGGACTTTGTGGTGAATCTGGACAGGACATTTTGTGAAGTGTATTTTCAGCTCTTTCTAATATGTGAAAAATAATTATTTTATTGAATATTGTGTATGTCAGCTCATACTCTACAGAGGACTGGGGAGAAGGGAGCAGGAAAGGGAAAAGAGAAATTGGAAGTATGTAAAAGGCAGGGGCTTCCCTTCCTACAGCACATAGCAAGGGTACAAGAAAATTAAGGTCTGTAACTCAGGTGATGGCTGTTGTGACCTGTGCTACTGTGATTTCTCCTGCTTTCATCTTCATGCCCTTCATGCCCCTGCTCTGCCCTGCAGGGCCCAGATGCCCTCAGTGGATGGTCAGAACAAACCTACCAACTGGCTTTACCGTGATGGAAAAAGTTTCCCTGTGTTTGTCAAGACATAGGCAGCACCACTGTCCTACATCTAGCTATTAACAATAACTGAAGAACTGCAAAGAGTGAGCATTTCATTTTCAGCCACACTTAAATTAGGCTAATGTGAGTAGAAGAAAACATCTCTGCTTGTTCAGTCCCCAGTCTGGGGCCTGCATGGCCTGTCCGGTGCTACCAGGGAGCTCACTCCTCAGGGCTCACGTGCCAGCAAAGATCATCTAGAGTATTTTATGAGGTGTTTCCAAGAAAATAGTCTGTAAAGTTCTCATCTGTCCTTGAAATGAGTTGTCTGTGCATGGTAGCGGCCCTTGGAAGATGTGCTAAGGGAATGGGCTGAAATTACAGAGAGACATGCAGTAGATTGAGTGTGCAACAGTTTCTGCATCCATGTGGGGGAATCAAAGTTGTTTACATATTAGGAGCTTCAAGCAGTAGCAAGAACATGGAGCTCCAACAATAGCTCCATCGTCAGAAAAAATAAATGTGACCTTTGGTCTGCTGGGACGAAGGACAAGCGCTGTCCTCCATGTCACCCCGCAGATTTTGGCTGTTGGCATTGTAACACAGCTTTTCTCTCTGAAGGCAGGACTCCTGCTGCCCCATCCCTGGCTCTCCTACACACTTCCTATCTTAACTATGGACAATACACTTTATGCTTCTCTCCCTCCTTTTTTTTTTTTTTCAAATTGGAGCAATACATTTTTACCTGCTGTTGTGAATGAGTGTTTTAGGATACTCAGAGAATCACCGGCAAAGGTATCGGCAAAAGCAGGTTTAATACAAAAGTGAAAGCATAACAAAGTTCGTTGGCAATCTTCTACTTACTTGATGGTTAAAGCACACAGAGAAAAATTGTACTGAAATCTAACATCAATCAATCTAAAACTAAAATCAACCAAAAATTATCTACATGGAAAAAGGGTAAGGATGAGAAAGGCTAAGGATAAAAAGGAATAAGGGAGACGTTCCCGTTGAGTCACAAGGTTCAGAGTAATTTGACCTCCTTGACAAACTTAGCCAGAGACTTGAACAATGGTTTAGGCCTAAAAGTTTTTAAAAGCACTTAAACTTAACAGCACTTAATTGATAGCTTAATGTACACAATTTGACAAAAGATTCTTATAGAATTTTCTATAGCACAACAGCAACTCAATTATAGGCCTAACTTCCTTATGAATCTAAAATACTTAAGAATCTAGGAGAGCAACATTCATATGACATTTGCTATAGCATATTCACACTCACACACACAGACCTAAATGTATGTACAAGGTTTGTACATACACTTGAGAAATTCCCCTCGAATTTAGTGAAGTACTCATGTCAGATGCCTGTGCATCTTCTCAATAGTTTGAGCCTTGAGGAGTGGGGGTATCAGCCCAGGCTCCATCGTTGGTGTTCGGTGGTGGTCCTCCAAGTACAGCAAACTTGAGAGTACTCTGGCTCTGAGAGGCATCTCACTCAGAGGGACATGCTGGTCGCAGCCCACTGTGGTCCAGGAGGGCTCAAAGAGTCTCACTTAGGACTGCTGTTTATAGGGTTGCAAGACAGTTGGCTTTAATCATAGTAATTTTTCATCCTGGCCTCAATTTGGGTCAGTACTTTTCTTTGCAAGTCTGACAACAAAAATATTATTTCAGTTGGGTTGTTATTCAGGCAAGAAAAGTCACTTTTCAAGTCTGTTCTTTAAAAACTAGGAGCTCACTAGATAGCATAAGCTCCTGGGAGCAGACACGGTTTCTGACAAGCTCAACAGAAGCTAAGCCCAGATGCTGTTTGTCAAGGCTGAGGCCTAATGAGTATTTCAGAGATCATAGCACGGCCCAAGGGTGGGGATGTACCACCATACCTGCCTAAAAGAGCATCTGGGTACATTAGTTAATGTTTGTGTGATGCTAGTAATTATTGTGATGAGACTTGCACAGACACATATTTATAGAAGAAGCATTTCAGAGGAAAGAGAGAGTTTGGATTCTCGTGGCCGCAGAGCACTTGTGGCACAATGCAATAACCTGTATCTTAGCTCCATAGAAAAGAATAAGATTGCAGCCACTAATGACAGTAATTAAAAATTTCTGTAAGAGCTGTCCAATCACCTCTTCAATTGCTCTATCTCAGCAAATTATAGTGTGTTATTGAAACCATTAGTGCAATAAAATGAAGCTAAAAACATTTTGCATTAAAATAATCAGACATTGATGTATGATGTAAATTGTAAATCGGTAACCTATAACACACACTAATTGTTTTTCTCTCTCCTGTAAGGTGTGTTTCTTGAAAAGATCTGATCAGGCATATCTATTTGTTCACATGTCACCCTCCAGTGCCTCACACTACTATACAAGACATAATAAGGTGTATAATCAGGTAACCTGCTATTGATTGCAACCCAGAAAGGACACACTTGTTCTTATACAGAAGCAGGAGGATGGCCACTTTTGAAGATTTAATTATAGTTAGATGTCTACATGTTTGCTGGACGTGAATTTTTATGGAGTACCTTTTTAATGTAAATACTTTGACACTGTGCTCTGATAGGTAGAATCAGATTTTGTAAAATAAATATAAATTTAAATATTTATAGTGTACAATCAGTTTATATAATAAAGGAATCAGTTTATAGTAAGACCAACTGTACCAGCTCCACAAAATACCTCCCCAATGCAATTAATCTATTTTTCCTTTTTTTGTCTCTCCAAGGAGAAATAGATTTTCTTCTTTTAATTTGTCAGATTTTTATCTCCTTGTGCTTTGCTGTAACTTCCTTATTAGTAAAGGCTGAGTGCAAATGCATCCTGCATGTTCAATTGAAGGTGGTCATGTCTGATCCTATTCGATACCGTGTTTCTTTGACACTGGCAAGACCATAAAAATGAAAAAAAGTAAGAGAAGGAAAACTAGAGGAAAAATACAGTTCAGTGAGAGAAAAAGTGTGATTGATACTATATTCCTCAGTGCACTAAGAGAATGGATGAAATGTGGTCAGTTTCAATAGAAACCTTAATGATTATTCCAAGTATAAGTCGTAGCAGATCATTTGGAGCCCAGAGAATTATGATGCACATTGTGGAAGTTTAATTACAATGCTCATTTGAGTATCCTGTAGCCATTCCAAAAAACGCATAGCAAAAAATGTTGATCAAAAGTAGCTGTTGTTGATATGCAGTAGCCACTTTTAAAAGCTCGGGATTCCAGCCCTTTCATTGTTTTTGATTTATAATTCCCTTTGAAAACACAAATTACATTTAGTAACATCATAAAGAAATCACAACATATTCTGCAAATGTACAGCTGTGGGAAACAGGAGGCTATCAGAAAATAATCAAAAATACTTACTGTAGTCTAGTTTTTTTCCCTGTTATACAAGCTTTGCCACTGACGCTTTGGAAATGTTGATTTGCATCGCCTCCACCAGCCCTCAACAAAATGTGGTTGCTGGGAGAGGGTGGGAGTGGGGGGACAAGCGGTGGCACGACCTTCTCCCCAGGGATCTCTCTCCTGGCAGCTCTCTCAGAAGGAACGAAGTGGGAGGGGCAGGTAGAAAGCCTCCCTCAAGCCTTGCTACTACCTGCCACAGAGTCCCCAGGGCGCATCTCAAGTTTTCAGGCCCTTGGATTTTTTCATAGCATGAGGGAAATGCCCTCTCTGCTGCAGGAAGCCCTCACCTTGCTTGCCAGGTGTATATGTTGAGGCCCAGATATATTAAGCCACTTCATTCCACACAGCACAGGGTTCACGCCTGCCGCCCGTCAGAACCTGCCAAACCGCCTCATGAAATTTCATGGAAGAGGCTCCGACCCTCGGGCAGGGGGTGGCAGAGGCAGGAGCAGTGGGCTGCGGCTGCTGTGGGCTGGGGGGAGCATAGTGGTGCTGGAATGGGAGCTGCAGGGAAAGGCTGCACCCTCTAGCCCCAGCTCTCATTTTTCCCAATCGGTCACTGCCTCTCAGCACCATTCCTCTGTCCTCTGAGATGTTAATCTCAAATGCCCTGTATTTACATGTACTCAAGTGTGATCTTGGCAGACCCTTATTAGTGTTATTGCTGTAATAGACTTCTCCTCTCTAACCTCTAACTTCTTGCAACTAACTAGCTCGAACTGCTACGCTTTGGCAATTCATTAGATAAGAATATTGTGTAAAAACCCTTCTATGGTGGACAAATACAGAAAATAATTCTGTCAGATGTAATTTTCAGAGGTAGCACAGCTATTTGGTTCCATTTTAGTGACATTAGATGTCAGGGGGTCTCTTAGTTTGGGGCTTTTCCACAGTTACATAAGCCACTGCCCATCTTTCCCAGCCTAAAGTAATAATTATAATTATTATTGTTATGTCAAAGTGCACTCTATAGCACAATCAAAAAAATCAATTGCATATAGTTGATGCACAGTCCAGTGTTCTTGGCAGCAAGCTTGCAAGTTATAGGAAGTCCTGAAATACATGGAGTTTGATCCTCAGCAGCATGGGCTGAGCTAGAGAGGAGGACAGAGGTGAGGGGTGCCCTGCCTGGGGGCTATTGCTCTGAGTGAGGAAGGACAGAGAGTTTAAGCAACCTCTGCTCCTTAAATCAGCTCAGCAAGTTGACAGATTGTGGTCAGCATGCTGTCAGACAAGGCCAACTGCTAGAAAATAATCAGCGGGAGCAGGTAAGATAGAGCAAAACTGCAGTAGCAAATACTTTCTTTAAAAAGTAAACAATGTCCAAAAACACCCATCCACACTTCACACTGATGCCAGCAAGAAAGCAGGTTCTCATGGGGAATTAGCTCAGCCATGGCAGCAGTGGGGGGAGGCACAAAGGGGCACTCTCCCCTCCCAGCTGAACAGGAACTGGATTTACTTTCTCTAGCATTTCATGGAAATAAACCAACCAGCAGCAACACCGCCTGTGAAACCTAGCCCTGAGACCCACCATTCCTGGGAGCATAGCAGTGTTTTGTCCACTGGCACGGCATCACTGAGATCTAGGTGTAGATGGGGAGACAGAGGGGCTGCTGGCATTCCCCCTGCTGAAGGCAGGTCTCAGCAACATCAGCAGAGGATAAGCAGGTCCCACAGTCATCCCATCCCACCCAGGCAGTATGACCAGATTTCCCCCAGCACAGAGGTACAGGGAGCCATGGCAGCAGTTGGACAGGCTGAAATCCTGGCAGCTGCATTCCCCAGTGAAAAGGGGTCAGATGGCCACCTCATCTCCCCTCTCTGATCATTACTTCTATTTATCTTCCTGACAAGCGCAGTGCAGGCATTACATTTTGGTATGTCTGTCGAAATCAATATGAGGCCAAAGTAAGAACTAGAAATGTTGGAAGAGAAAGAGATTACAGTGCTGCCCAAATCAAACACTGAGCTGGGGGAAATTCCTGCCCAGGCCATAAAAAGCAACCTCTGCAGCTCCACTGCCCTGAGATGGATTGACAGTCTGCTCATGTCACAAGGGGTTAGGGTGAGGAACAGCCTGGAGTTGTTTATGATTTTGGGGCCCCCTCGACAGTTCATTGGGCTGTCACCTCTGTGACAATCATCCTTCTGTGAATTTGCTCTTCCAACTCAGGCAGATGACCTGCTACAAAAGCCCTCTGAGCAGCTCTCCCCCTTTCAGAAAGACCTTTGGCTCTCGAGCAGGTTGCATGTGGGCAGCCCCTCGTGCCCTGGCTGTATGTGAACAAAAGCAGCCTGTGTTCGCAGGTCTGGGCAATGTTTTTGCTCCAAGGAGTCTCACATTCACGTGCTGCCCACTACATTTAGGAGCAGGGTTCCACAGGCACTTGAATTGGCAGCTGGTTCACAGCACATGTCTCTGACCTGCAAGACACAGGGAACAAGTGCCCTGAGAGTGCAGTTGCTTGGCCCCTTCCCTGTGCAGCACCACGACAGGCTGCTGGTCTAGCTGTCAGTCCCTCTATGGAGCAGGTTCCCAGGACACTCACCTCTTACAGCCAGTCCTTCTGATGGTAGTGGCAGGTACACCAGTGCTGCTGGGGAAACTTGTGTACTTAGGAAGACAACATCCACCAGGATCAGACCCAGCTCTGGGACACCTTGCTGAGCTAAAGAAGAATGATTGCTGACCTCAGTGGTAAATGTCTGCTCTCCATCGTCCTCCCGTTTTTCTTTTTTTTAAAGACATCCTTAGGTATATAGGAAAGACCAAAAAAAAAAGGAAAAAAAAGGAAGGAAAAGGGAGGGAGGGAGGGAGGAAGGAAGGAAGGTTTGTATTTGATTTTGTAAACATTCTCTCCATTGGATGCAAATACTCACTCACTTTGGATGTCCAGTTCTGAATTTGCCTTCATGAGCTCTCTGCTGTTTTTCATCATCCATTCCAGCAGCCGTCTCAGAGCTGGCTTCTTATAATTCAGAGCCTTTTAAACCCTGGAAAAGGAAAATGCAGGTACCTTTTGGGGATTAAGAAAACATCAACATCCATGCAGGTAGAAATGAAGACCAAGAGAAAGGAAAGCCAGAAAAGAGAGGGGCAGTTCTACAGCAGTGATATTTTGTGCCACTTGCAGAGTCACATGGAGGGAGGATGTAGCAGTCGTAGTACTGCCAAGGATACGTGTGTGGATGGAGGGCAGCGTGTCCAGTTCCTAGTGTGCAAATCTAGATATACTGGTACTTAAATATGACTGGCTTTAACAGACTTATAAGAAAACCCTAAGTAAACATAGCATGGCTCCTTTCCAAAGAGAATTTGCTGCAGTGTTGTTGCCCAAGACAGTCTGGTTTTTTGACATTGCTGTGCATGGTCTTCTAGGTGCATGTTGGCAAAACGTGAACAAAAATAGCTCAGCTTCATAAAGTACTGGGGGGTGAAAATGTAAGCACATTTTTATTTATAATTAATTAGCACCAAGATAGGGAGTAGCCACATTAAGAGTGACAAAAACAAGATGGAAAACTAGATCTTGCTGAGACTTTTTTTTTTTGACAAGTTCACTGACTGTGACTTTAACCAGCAATGGTGGTGCAGCAAAAGGATTTCTAATCAGCCACTAATGTATGATTGTTTAATTTTAACAGGCATGATCAATACCATCCATTCCTTCTTTAAATGCTAATGAACACTGTAATACAACAGATGTGGACAAACAGTACATTGCAGATTAAAATTAGGCAAGGCATTAAATTGCTTGCAAACAGCAGAGGAATCCTGCTGGACATCTTGACAAACAATCACAGGCAGCTGATAAATCTGGAATTGCCACCACCAGTCCACAGTATCTCAGGCTTGTACAACTACTGATCACCCTAGAAGAGAAAGGTACCCTTCCAAACTCTTGCAATTTCTTTCTCAGGACTTGTGCAGGCCCAACTGTGATTTATGAGATGCATATGCAAATTTTAATAACACGAGTACATTTCTAGCAAGAACTCTTAGGTGCCCTTACTATTAGTTGGTGTCCTCTAGCCCATTTTGATCACAGTAAGAAATGTCAGGGAAGGATCACCAATCTAGATAAAATCCCAGTCCCCTGCTAACTTGTGACAGAGTAACATCCAGTGCTAATTTGTCCACATCCCCCAGATTAGTTGGCAGGCTCAGTAAACCAGGGCCAGAAGCTGGATTACTAACTAGCTTTCAGCCAGTTTGAAGCCACAGGAAAGCGGCAAACTTTGTTACCACAGGGCTTCACGTGCAACCGAATTCACTTTAAGGTAAAGCTTCTGTTTGTTCTGCTCTTAACCGCTGTCAGAGGAAAAGGTGCTTGAATGACAGAGCTCCAATTCCTGACACCTGGTACCACTTGTGTCCTGTTCCATTGTTTTTGGTGGACTGTGTCCTAAATTCATGAAATGCAAGTCCCAGTTCACTCTAGTAGGTATTGGAAACTCACCACAGGGCTCAGTCCTCACTGGGGCTGGTGGCAATCAGAGGGAGGAGAGCTGCATTTACCCCAGGAATGACTTTTGTGTGGAGCAGGGAATCTACATGTCCTTTCGAATGTGCAGTGACAGGGCTATGACGACAGCTCCCTCACCCTGAGTGGGTGATGTGCCAGCAGCTTTACCAGCATTGCTCACAACTGTGTGCCAGCAAGTACAACCTAGGACAGATGGTAGGTAGCACCTTGTTCAAAGGCATCTCTAATTTACGGTTTCTTGGCTTTCAGAGGGTACCATGCATTGCTTTGGGTTCAGCTTCCTTTATCTGTTTCTTCCTTTTTTTCTCTCTTGCATCTTGTGAAACCCAAACTTTTTTTCCTCCTTTTTAATTGTGTGAAATCAACGTGGAGTGAAAAGGCCATGAAGAAACTTTCTGACGCCAACTGAGTCTAAGCTGTGTCTTTGTTCTCAGCAGAGCTAAAGACCACATTAATCAGAAACTTTGCTGACCTTGTCTTTACTGCCTGAAGACTGAAAGACAAAAGCAACACAGTCTGGCCACATTTAAAAATTCAATTAAAAAATGCCAGCTGCCCAGGGATAAACATTATCATAGACCTCAGTGGGGTTAGCTGTAACTGTGATAAAGGCAATGTCTTTTTCTCACTCTATTTTTATTTTTTTTTCCCCAAAAGAATGAAGCCTAGGTTTTGATACTCCTGATTATGACAACTGTGTATGTGACAGAGTGTGCTCAGTGGTGGTGGGTAGCTAGTGTTGGGGCTTTTAATCAGGAGCAAAGTAAGAAATTCCTGAGAGGGATGGCAAGCTGAAAGTGGAGGAGTAAAGCTACTGAAGTGGACTTGCAGTACAATGTCCCTGTATTCCTTTTTTTCAGACTATTATCTTTTCCTATAGCCCTGGCAAAAGCAGACCAGACAAGGGGTGAGGAGATCCTGCTCAGAGCTGGACTTGGCATCTGGAGGCAGAAGTGAGGTTAGGGGAGGGGTAACAGCACAACTTCTTCCCTAAGGATGAAACAGAGAGCCTTTTGTTGTGGCACTTGGCTGTGCCTTACTGATTTTATTATAGAAATATTAAGCAAGTAAGTGGATATCCAGTCAGCTGAGAACATGAGCAGCCAAACAGAGGGGAGAAAACCAAATGAAATCCCTTGGCGCTGACAGTGACAGGAGGAGAGGCAGCAGCTCTCCCTGTCCAGTGGCAGGCCCCGGGCCAGGTGGGTACCAGCTTCAGTGCAGCAAATTAAATAGGAGCAGGCGCATCTTCTTTAGTTGAACATTCAGTTACATAAAGGGCCAAATTCCTCTCTCAGAACATCCTCCGGCCCCGCCAGCTCCCCCTGGTCCTCTCCTTCCCTGGCTTGCCAGCAGCCTGCCTGTGGGGCTTCCTCGAGTGCTGCACCTTTATCCACCCGCCCTCGCTGGCTCTGCTCTCCCCTTCGCCCCTCCTGGGCTCGCTCTCACCCTGTGGGGGCATGCCGGGGATGGCCGTGGGCTGCGGAGGGGTGTGGGGGTACCTGCGGTGCTGGGAGGCCGGAGGGGCCACTGGCAAAGAAGTCCTGCTGGGTCTTCCCAAGTGTCGGGGGGGCACTGGGGAGCTGGTCCCACTGCGCCGCCCGCCTGAGGAGCTGCGGGAGTTACCGCTGTGTGGGGTGTTTCTGCCTTTGCCAGCAGACCTGTCCCTCTCCGAAGCGGTGTCTGAGGCTGTGCTGGAGGCACTGCTGCCTTTTGAGTTCAGATGCAGATTCGAGAGGTTTCTCATCAAACTGTGCGAGATAGGAGAAGAGTTCCTGGAGTGGCTGATGGATGTGAACTGGTGACTGACAGGAGCGGGTGTCCTCCTGACAGCTGCAGCGTAGGAGTCTTGGCTGTGAAGGTAGGGCAGGTAGTGGGTGACTGTGGTCGGGCTGTGGGGGTGGCTGTGCTGGTGAGAAACGGCTTTTGCTATCTGATGCATGCGCAGTGTCTGCATCCACTGACTGTCAATGCCTGGCAGGGAAATGGAAACAAAGTCAGCTTTCTGTGAATTGGTGGAAAACCACTCTCAGGTTTACCAAAGGTATGAGGTTAGTACGAGGGTTTCTCTCACAAGAACCTTAATATATCTCAAACCACCCTTTCCCTCCCAGCCTTGAAGCAAATGGTCCTACATTTGAGTATGTTCAGTGTTATGGTTGAACATAATTTTGGACTTTTAAAATAGCAAGTGATACAAGTATTTCTAATGCCAGTGCAGATTATGGAACTCAGACTAAAAGATACTTACTGAACTATCCATTTGGCTGTTCAGGTGGGTTCCCCCTCCCGATGTTTTTAACCCAATCTGGGTTTAAACATATACTGTGATGCTCTTGGCAACCTCAGCAGATTTCTACACAGCTTTCTTTACAAAAGAACCTGGAGACTTCCAGAGCAGGCATAGAGCAGGCATCCCAAGGTACCAGCACCGCTGCAGCATCACCTTCCACCTGCATCTCTCCCATCCAGCACGGTGATACTGTTTGCAGCTCAGCACAGAGAGGAGGCAGAGCAGACCCAGTGTAAACCTCAGCTGCAGCAGCCAGATTTATCTCCTCGTGCTCCAATTTCTTTTCAAACTGCTACACACCACAACAACCAGAGCTACTTCAGTTGTTATTGTTACTACAAATTCAGAAGTCAAACCACTTTGCATTCGGCTTCATGATGGATGCAAAAAATCATCTCTGAATGTGGAAAAGCCAGTGAGGCAGCAGACTTCAGCCAGGATAGCTCAGACAGTGCTTAACTGTGAACAACTCAGGGTATTACAGTTCCCTCTACACCTACTGTGACAGCCCTGAGGTTGTAACAAAAGTCGTAGCTCTGAGAGATCAGACTGAAGTGGTTTTTGAAAGTCAGTCCTGTGGTTTCCATGAAAGCCTTTAGCAAATACAGTAGTAGTAAATTTTCCATTTGAACTGCAAAGGCTGCCTGGTTTGCTACTTTGTGGGTAGAGCAGAGACCAGGAATTCCTCTTATAAAAGGCCACAGCTCTGGCCAAAAACCCACAGGGAGCAGCTAAAATTATTTTGCTCTAGAGAGGTTTGAATGATTTGTCCTTAAATATCACTAATATCATTCCAATAGGAAAGCATAACCCTCGCTGTCTCTAGTGGAATGCTGCATTGACCATGGGGAGTTTTGTGGGAGCTGTGTAGTGGCTCTGTCCTCGTTAGGATCACTCCTGTTAAAAATGTAATGGATGATGTCTTTCATTCCTCCTTTCCCCAGACTTTGTTTGAATCTAAAGAGATTTAAATCACTTCAACTTAATGTCAAATATGTCAAAAGGAAACTGTCTTTCGTGTCATAGCGTGAGTGTGACACCAACACTGCAGACAGCTCCATCTGCACTGAGATGAACCTTCTTTCACAGAAAGACAGATGGGAGTTGCCTACTTGCTTCTTAACCTCTTAAAAACTCATGGTTTCAAAAGAAACCTGCATGCTGAAATGTACTTGATAGACACTATCTCCTCTGCCATTTCCCAATGCCCT